ATTGTTTGGTGGAAGTCAATACAAAAGAATAGATTTCAATTTTTAAGGGTCATTGTATCGTTCTCTCAGCACTAAAGGATGGTGTTCACCTTTCCTCTACACTATTCAGTCATATGCAGATAAACGTGCAATCAGGATTTGTACCAGAAATTCAGTCAGCACAATCTGAATAGCCATCTGATCAATCTGAGAAACAAGGAGAAACATTTCTCTGTGCTAGTTGCTTGTGATAATTTAGCCTCGTACCATCTGCTGTTTAGACGGCACATGGTCGGGATTCTGTAAGAAGGCTTAATTCTTTTCTCTAACTCCCAACCCTCTTTTTTTTCTTTCCCTATTTTCTTTGATTTGGTGTGGTCCTATAGAGCAAAGTTTGGAGCGACAAGTGTTGCAGAGTCAGTGTCGAAGACTAGAAGCTCAGAACTACAACCTCAGTCTGACTGCTGAGCAACTGTCTCATAGCATGGGGGTAAGACAGATACACCACCACTGTTTTTGTGTCTTCTAACACACACTTTGCATCATCTCTAAGCCCACATTCACCAGTGCCTACTTCCTACACATTTCCCTTCTGTCTCCACACATAGGTCTTTTTTTTTGTCCTTCATAATATACATGGTATATACACAGGGTGGATGAAATGGCTTAAAAAGTAAAAAGATCACAGAGAAACAGACAGCGGTACTGGCAAATCATTTGAATGCTTATTCTCAGTGCAGGTTTTCAAAGCAACATGAGGGTACTAGTTCAAAGCTGCCAAATATTCAGTGCATAATATCCAAGTCAAAACCTGTAAAAGCCTAAAATGTGGCAAGTAGGGGTGTAACGGTACACACAAGTCACGGTTCGGTACGTACCTCGGTATGGGGGTCACGGTTTGGTACAACGGAATAAATAAAATAAAATCACATATAAAAGACAAGCTTTTTTTCATTTATTTTGAACAGACACCAATGGACTGCAAAATAAAAAAACATCTCCTGTTATAAAAGTAAAAAATAAAGGTGTTGCCAGCAACATAGCGCACCTCCGTGAAACATGGCTGGCAGAAAGTCATTGTCCAGTCCACCGCTCGCGTGCCATCACCATTATATTGTACTGGGAAGCCTAAGTGCTCCCAAACAGCTGATTTAAATGAAGCCGGCGGCTCCTCAAACTCCACACTTTCCATCACTTTTCTTCTTCGTCCTTTTTTGTAACTACTTCTTCTTCTACTGTAATGACTGTTTCTGGCAGCTTTTAGGCTCATTACCGCCACCTGGATTAAAGTGAGGACTCGTCTTTTTTTAAAAACTCACTCAGATGTATTCGTCGTATGACTGTGTGCCCCGTACCGTGATGGTTCGGGACGAATACAAATACCGTTACACCCCTGGGGCAAGAGAAGCAGTTTTGAAAATAATGTTAACACCCAGTATCTCAAATAAATGTGGTCAGTAGGTACCATGACTCCAAGGTGCTCTGCCAAGAAATACTACCTAATGCAGGAGCAGTTGCACCTTACTGTCGAGAGATATTTCATTCATAATCCAAGATGATAATGTTCTAATATAAACTGCTAATTTAAGTCAATAATGGTTTCATAAACATTAAGATAAAGTGACGTTTCATCCCAGTCATCAGATCTAAAGCCAAAGGTGTTGAGTGCAGAGCATGAATCAGATGTCCACCTCTATAATTCTTTATTATTCTCACATTAGGATTTATCATTTATTTTTTTCCACCCTTGTTTCGTTGTTACGTTAACATAATATTTCATGTCTTCCCTCTCTTTTGCCCTGGTCATGTAGGAGCTGATGTCCCAGAGACAGAAGCTGGCAGTGGAAAGGGAGAAGCTACAAGCAGAGCTGGAGCACTTCAGGAAGTGTTTGACGCTGCCACAGACACACTGGCCGAGAGGCGGTCATTACAAGGGCTACCCTCCCAGGTGACCCCAACACACCGACCTGAAGGCCCCCAGGCCCCCGGCCACCTCCCCTTTCAGACTGACACCCAGAGTTTATTTTTCATGGCCTGGTGCACATGGCTCCATGGAGGAGAATATGGCTGGCTAGATAAGAAGAATGAATGAATGAATGAATGAATGAATGAATGGAGTGAATGGTTAGATGGATGATGCAGGACCATACAGTGAAGGACCGACAGTCTTTGGATTGTGGCCAACCAGGGACTGCAACACGTGCCAATGTAGCCAACCCCCTAAATCAGCAAGAGTATGGGACAGGAGTATCTGAAGATCAACACAAACACACACAAATACAGATGTGCACCTGCTTTTCACACAATCTTCAGTCCCTGCTGCTCTATTGTTCAGTCCCTGCATCCCTCGCCGCCACAGCTACACAGACAATCCTGCCAATGAGGGAGCAGCTACCCCAGGAGGGGGTGTCATCAAGAGACTTGAACGCTCCAAAGGCTTCTGGCCAGTCGGGACTGATTTTATCACAGTGGCCACATGAGCTTTTGAACTGGAAATGCACTTAAGAATAAAAGCTGAAGAACTACCTGGTGGTACTGTGTTACAACAAAGAACTGTTCAAATTAGGGACGAACTTAGAAAATGCACATTTTTGGAAAGAATTAAGGAAATGTTTTATTTCGAAATAGAAAATTTGAGAATAAGAATTTTAAAAGGTGCTTCAGCCTTGTATTGTAAATAATATGAAGACTTAAAAGAATTTTGTATGTTTTTATTACTTTAATCATTGTTCTTTTAAAAGAAAAAAAGCCTGCCATTTTTATATGTTTATGCTTTTTTGGGTTGGAAAAGAAAGCCTTGCTTTTAGTGTTTGTACTGCTGCTGGCCAGAACAGCTCATTTTGAGACATTTAACAGAGTGAGAGAGAACAGGATACACTTCTCTTACTCTCTCCTGGCACTGTGCAGCTGAGACTCAGCCACAGCCGCCTCACCTGGCATCTGAGCTCAGCAAAGCTTACTTAGAGGTCCTGAGACATGGCTCCTGCCCTCTCATCCCCCTCCCTTCACAGCAACATATGTCTCTCTGTTATATAATGCCCCTTAACAATTCCTCTGGTCAGCTTCACTGCTACTGGCATGATTAGTTAGCTTGTGATGCTCTCATACAGAAACCAGTTGAGATCCAGTGACAGAATACGTTTTTTTTTTACTTAAGTCACTTGACATATTTGATTATTTTGTAAAGACATGAAGAGTCTTTTAAGCCGCCAGCTGATGAAACTGGTTCTTGATGCTTTATCCTACCATTGGACCTTTCAGTTCACTTTGTATGACCTTGGACTCAAACAATATGACGGTTTGCATAATGTTACGCCTTACAAGATCAAGCCCTTATCAGCGGCCATGAGAGGACATAGTGCCAAAATGAATAAGGGTAGCATTTTGGATTCTTAATTTTAAATTGAGTTGCAATTAAGTAGCCAAACATTTAAACCAGAACAGCACTCTTCCACTGCTGAAAACCCTTGACCCTACTCATCTCCTTCCTGCATTTACCCATTTTAGGACCCTCGCTATCCAAAGTTGCCAATTGGTTATAAATAAGTCACACAAAAAGTAGGTCCAATCTGGGTATTTCCTAGTACATATAAAATCAGATTTACCTGGCCTCACGCCTGTTTACAACCTCTGCCTGACCTTCCTCCTCGTCAGCTCTGCTCTGAGATTCAGCCACGCAAGTTTTACACTGACTTATGGTTGTATGTGCGATTGGAGACTCTAAAGGCCATCTACGAGGTGTATGGATCATAGTTTTGAATTTAAGGGGTTCTATCCTAGCTGCACAAGTTATGGCGGTGGGATGGTTGGTGTGAAAAGAGGGGGGGGATTAAAAAAGAAGAAAAATCTCAAACTTGTGCAGAAATTTCATTTAGAAAGACTGAAGCACAACTTACCCCCTACATACAGTATATTAATTACAAGTGCCTCAAGAATTTGGGAGCATGAGAATGAGTTGCAGTCCACACCATCAGTGATCAGGGACTTCACATTCAAGCGCCTACTGTATGTCTCACACCTTTCAAATATGCGCACGTCAAAAACCGACACCAAATTCCTTTATCTAAATGCATCTCTGAGAATCCATTGAATCACTAGAACTTTTTATAAATGAGGCCCGAGCCATTTCAGAGGATCAGGTGGATGCAGAGTGTAGTCTGTCATTTTTACAGAGCAGAAGAGAGCCAAGAGCACAGCCTATCAGTTTATGAGGGAGTATGCATGCTGAGGTAAGCTGCCAATGACCTGGGGAGGAAGGTGCAGTTACAGTGAGCCCCTTACCCAGCCTCCCTGTGTCTCCAACGCACGCCCATGCAATAGCCCCATTACTCAGTGGAGGATGTCTAGATGCTGTGAAATCCTGTTTTTAAAATGTACTTGTTTGAATTCATTGTAATGTAATATATTCTTTGTTGAATGTAGTAATTAGGTATTTATGAATATATGGCTGTGATTTCAGACAAAAAAGAAAATAAAATATTTCAAAAATGTTAAATATCAACCTTTGTCTGTTTTGGGTGCTGGTAGGTAGGATGGGAGGGCAGAACACCAAAATCATACATTCATGTATTTATAATAATTAAAAAGGACCAATATTACTGGACTTTACTGGCAAAGATTTTTCATAATCTGGCAACTTGGTTCCTAAAATATAATACCCTCGATATTAACTTGTCACTGGTTTTAGATTCAAATTGTAATGAGTCTTGGTGAGAATTTGGGTTTCTTTTGAAGTTTCGTCAAGTTTTCCTGAGCCTAAGCGAAGTGACTTGTTTAAATGTCTTGTTTTGTTCAGTTATCAGTTCAAAACAAATAAATTAAAACTGTAAAAAACCTAGATAAGTGGAAAACACTGAAGAAGCTAAAGGTGATTCAGCTCTATAGCAAACATTGTCACATGTCAACTATATGTATGCCATCAATCCTGCAAAACACCACTCATCTAGAATACTAAAAAGTGCAGATAAGTGACACAAAGAAGATCCAAACATGAAAATGAGTATACTTATATAACCTAGCCATACGCACAAATACATTTATTGTTTCACTTAACATATACAAGAAGGGTTTTAAACTACAGTGAGCATCCCAAATTAAGTTAAATATGGACAAATTTTAAACGGCAGATACATGTACAACCTACATGTGTCCCTCGGGAGTGAGCGAAACTCAGTTAGCTTCAATCAGCCATTAACATAAATCTCAATTTCTGAGAAAACAGTCTTTTGAGTAATGAAGGGCCTAGTGAGTAAGTCCCTCAGTCCATGGCTTTAACCCCAGTCTTCCCACATTATTGGGGCCAGATCCAGACCTTTTCCAGCAGGCCTTGATGTTGTGGATCAGTAGTCTGTGAGCTGTCCCTTACTTGAACCGGGCTGCATATTGGAGCGTAGTTTGTACATGCAGTTGAGAGAGTCAAGAAGGAACGCTCGTATGGTGTTGATCTCCATCAGAGTCAGATTGTCCAGCTATAGAGGGAAGGAAGGAAGGAAGACACATGCTCTGTTTTAAACACATAAACAAGTGAAAACATGTTCTCTAATGAATGCTGTGAGCGCTTGTGCTCATATGTGCTGAAGCTTAATATGACAGTAAAACAAGAAGCAGCAAGTCCACATGATGAGGGGATAAAAAGATTATGCCCATTATTTTGGAAGACACTGTGACCATGGCTGTTAATCCTGTTGAAAAGAAACAATCCCGGGGCTCCAAGGTTCAACAAAATGTTTGAATTAATTAGTTTTTTCATCACTTGAAGATGCTCTTTGGAGCTCAAAAGTAAATACAAGGTGCTTACATATTTCTTAAATTTCAACACAACCGCCAGTGAGCATTTGAACTAACTGACTAATCAATTATTTGACTAATTGTTTTAGTCCTACAATATTCCTATAGTCCTATAATTAATGCTCAGCGTGTGATTCTTTGTGATCGGTTTTACCTTGGCGTGAGCCTCCATCTGACTGATGAAGCTGTCTGCAGAGAGGCGGAGTTTGGCAACACGTGTGTCCCAGATGTCTTTGACCAGCGTGCGGATCTCATCTGCTTTGGGGATGTTGTCCGACGCACTAGAGACACACACAAGCTATCACGTAAGGCACGGTGCCGCATACACAGTCAACGAGGGAGCATTTTCACAAACTGTTAAATACACTGTGAATACCATGAGCACAGTAAGACCGTTATTTCTGCATGGGGATTACTTCAGTTTCAATGACTCACTAGTTCAGTAGCAGTTTGGTCAGTTCCATGTAGTAAGGACTGGGAACAGGTGTAAACATATCTTCTTTCCTCTCGAGGTCTCGCATCTCCTCCAGTTTCTCTGCACAGTATCAACAGCAGGCGAGTCAGAACAGTCTTTAAAGAACCACAGTGAGTGTTGGTTTGTCTTTTGTGGCATTTGTTTACAATAACAAAAATACAAAATAATGTGAACCCTTTCCTTAAAACGGTCCAGTGTGAAACATTTATGAGACATGAGAATTTAGTGGCAGAAATGGAATATTATATTTATAGGTATGTTTTCATTAGTGTATAATCTCCTGAATATAGGAATTATGTTTTTGTTGCCTTAGAATGAGCCGTTTCGATCTACAGAGGAGGACAGTGAGTCTGCCATGTTGAACCACCATCTTTTTTCTCTTTTGCGTTTGGAAGGGGAGAGGGAAGCGACGGAGATACGATCTGCAACTAAGCTACTCATAAGCTACCAGCACACATTCAAAAAGTTCAAATTCAACCCAACACACTGGTTTTCAAGTGTAAATAATAACAACAACAACAACAACAACACAAATGCTATGACTGACTCTCTTAAGCAACCTAAAAGGATTTCAGTAATGTCATTATATTGTGTACTTCTGATTCTGGATGAATGCAGTAATCTTTGATCCCATCTGTACACCAAATCTTCACATGTCTAATGCAAAAGAGTGATCCTAATTATTTGTTTATTTTTGTACTGTGAAAAGGCAGATTTAAAGTTTAGCCTCTTAAACGCTGGTAAAAATACATGTTGTGGTATCAGATATATTTGGTTAAATGGACAGAAAACTTTAAAAAACAATGTCATTTCTGCAGCAATCCTCTGGCCTTATAGGGATTCAACTATCCTGGCAGCTTGAAAACATACCATGTATCTGTATCATATCTTACCAACATCCATCCACGCAGGAGGAACAATTCTGCATTTCTGTCTCTGTTTCAGATTAAGGGCCAGCCACACAGGAACATCGACTGGCAGTCCGGGGTTGAAGGGGCCCAGGTCTCCCTGGAAACATAAAGACCCAGATTGTATCACGCAAAACACAATAGTTGACACACAGAGCCCCTTGACTCCCACTTCCACTTTCATTAACATATAAACATTAGCTGGCCGACGTTGTGTTGAGTTATCCGTAAACAACTGTTTACACATACAACTGAGTCACTTACCCCGATCAAATAGACCTTGTCTAGACTGAAATTTGGTATAATCTTCACCATCTCTTTCTCGGCGAGGAACTCTACCTCCGACGGATCCATAGCTGTCTGTCTGTCTGTCTGTCTGGGTTATTGTACTGACAGAGACTTCACCCTCAGATCCACACTGCTGACTGTTCCCGCGCTGCAGGCTGCGTGAACTCAGGATAACACAACATCGTCATCAACAGGCGACGTAATGTCGCGCTCGGAGCACTTTGTATCGTTTTGTTGACTTTAACCATTTCGCTGTTTGTCTGTGATCCTCCGCACGCTTACGTATCTGCATATTTACAGAAAACTATAGTTTGAAGGCTGTTTACTGACGCATTACGGGTCCTGTTTTTTGTTGTTTTTTGTTTTTTTCTGGCCTAAAGGAAGTGTGTCACGTGACAGTAACAAGCGCTACAGGTAGGCACCACTAGGTGGCAATATATACCAAGTGATACACAGGAGGTTGTCTTTATGAAGGTCTGTATGTGGCAATTCCGCATTTGTGACATCTATTTAAATATTATTTTCTCTATTTCTTATTCTTACACGTCTTCCTTTCATATGGTTTTTTTTTTATAGTATTAGCCACTTCTCTTTTCTATAAAAATGTAAGCTTACATTTTGGATTGTTGTTTAAAACAAGAAGACATTGAGCTCTGAGAATTCTGTTGGGCACTTTTGTGATAAACCAAATACATTTGGAAAATAATCTGTACATTAATCAACAATTATTAGTTTGAACCTTGATTACATAAGAACAATGAATACTCTCGTGATGACTCTTTTCTAATAATTATATAGCTGTAAGTGGCTAAAGTATGAACACTTTCTGTTGTCATGAGCTGATGATCTGACAGCTTGCTGTAAGAGCCAAAATAGTCTGCTTTCAGGATTCACAAAAAGCCTACTGCACATGCTAATAAGATCATACTGTGGTGAAGTGTGAAGGATTTTCATCTGGGCATGTGACATTTCTTTGTGCAAAGTCTAGGACAGATTTCAGTGGGTGCTACATAATGATGATACATTGAAGACAAAGGAAAGTTCAGAAGGGCCGGCAAGAGAAAACATAAAATGTAAGTCAGGAAAGATCTGCATAGTTTCCTGGTTATTTTTAACAACATGCATTGTGAATCATCACTTCTCGTAAGGGAATGGCAGGAAATTACATCTAGGACAGTTTTAGGCTTTGAAGTGTCTAAATCACATGAGTTAGTAAACTTCATTCATTATTTAGAAGAGATGAAGTTTAGGGTATCTGTAATTACTGAGTTTCCTTCTGGGATTATTAAAGTATTTATCTCTCTACATTCTTAGCATGTAAGTAATGTAAGTTTATTTTTTATAAATGTCATGTCATGCAAATTGAAATAAGAAATTATTTTTCTTATTATTCTCCATTCTACCTGTTCGGAGCAGATACGACATAATCTGTGTAACGTGTGTTACTGATAGAGCAGGAAAACCATCTATGAGCTGAGTTTTAAAACTTTATAAACCCTTTTCTAAACTGTAGAGCCAATGATGAGTCTGACAAAAACTGATAGTTTCAAAAGTTTCATTGTACATTCAGTTCATAAAATGTCTGTAAAAAAATTTGTCCACACAATTATTTAAGTAACTAGCTCTTATTAATTCTAATCTCAAATACAAAAGTAGTTATGCATCTTCACATTAAGTATTTAAATTTTTAAGATTATTTATTAAATAGTAGGATTTAGAGTGGTCATTTAAGTATAAATAAATACTATTTCCTAATCCTTAAAACAGATATCCAACATAAAACAGAATTCACACATCCATGTGATCTGATTCAGTGCATTATATTTCTGAACAAATCTACCAGAACAATCAAAACCCAATACGCCGACGTTCTAAAGCACACCAGTGACCGTAACAGGAGAAACACATCATAGAAATGTTTGTGTGAGCATTAATTACTTAAAGTCAAAGCTCTTGAGTCAATCATCCCATTGTCATTGCTGGTGCCTCAACAGAAGGACTGAAGTTAGATGACATACAGTCCGATAAGAAAAACCTTTAAGACTGCCGTCTCTCTGGTTCTGCCTATACGTTCTTCTTACAAGTGTTTTATTAACCTTCCCACAAACGTCCTCAGACTACAGCTCTACGTGTGAATTTTGTTTCAGGGCTCATAGCAAACTAGAAATTTAATACATTTAATAAGGAACATATTTAAATCATATGTCAGTAGTACAATCATCACTTTTTTTTAATATAATTTAGGATCCCTTTATGGCTACTGGCTGTAAAAGAGGGAAAAACAGATAAAATACTCTAGAATTTAACTTAATGCACACAACTATGAATAAACACAAACCATTGCAGAAAAAAAACTCATTTAAGTTGCATTCAAAAACATAATTGCCTTTATCAGTATCACCTTGTAAAGGTGGACACATACCAACAGTGCACATATGGCGCTGGTCAGTGCTCCACAAGTTCCCATCAGTATGGGAGCCTTTTGATGGAACAAAGACTATGCGTTCAGCATTTTTGTACTCCTGTGCTACACGATAAGTAGCATCATGCATGCTGAAGTGGCAGCAATATTTCTGTGTGCGTGTCCAGGTTACTCCTGACTGAGGGTTTTAGCACAGATCCAGGACAGACTTGTTGATCACAGGGTTGGTCCAGTCGTTCCTTAGATCATCCAAGTGATTGTCAAAGTCAATCAAGTTCTCGTAGGACCTGCCCTCCAACAGAGCGGATGTGATCTTCTGGGCTTCGCCCCAGTCCTCGAAGCAGTCACTGGAGAACAGACGAAAACATTAGTTTGGCAATCAACACCTAAAACATATACAACATACACTGTTTCTGAATATTCTGAATAAATATTTTAAGTTCTTGCAAGTCTTGCAGTGAAATAGCTCTTAACACAGACACACTTACGAAGTTACTTCTCTGCTTTTCCACTTGTTTTCATGATGATCATAAATGAGCACAATGGGTTCAAAACAGCTAATTGTTAACCTACTGTTGTCCACCTGAGGGGGGAGAAAAACAGAAAATTAGAAGAGATTAAGTGGAAACTATGATCCTGGTGAGATTCTAGGAAATAACAACATGTGTTATGTAAAGCTTTACAAGACCAGACCAGTGTTTTGCATGTTTCTATTACAATGCTGCTAACCAATTTTAGAAGCATATTACAGCCTTTTTGTCTGTACATTATTATTATTATTATTATTATATCATTTAGCAGACACTAAGTCTTCAGCATTAGTGCTAGTGAGAAGCGCTGACATCCCAAACTTAAGAGGCAGCTAAAATAAACTCACATCATCTCTTTCAGTTTGTACAGTGTTCACAATGTTCTGCAGCCAAATATCAAATCTCAGATAGTGGAGCCACTGATTACATTTGCTGTGAAATGATCTATTGCGGTTTTTCCATAAGTGGATTTTTATACTTTGCTGAACTAAAACCAGTGGCTGCCTGGAAGGTAAAATGAACATATATGTTTTACTAAAACTGCACCACATGCATTGGAAAAATCATAAAGTATTCATATAACTTTACTACCGTATTACCATAACAATGGCTGCTTCACTGAAGTTCTCAGAAATCCTGGCAGCCACTTTTTCTGCAACTTGGTTGGGTCTGTAAAAGAGAGGACCGAACATTTAGTGCATTAAGAGTCCAGAGGAGATTGGGGCAAAGTTTGTAACGGGTTGTTTTACTGAAACAACAGGGTGGAAGTGTCCATTACCTTGAATCCTTTTTGCGTTCATTGGCTTGATAATATCCAACAATGACATAGTTATTTTCTTTACACCAGGTATCGATCTGTGGAGTCAGACAATGTGAAAGGACAGAAGAACAGCAGAGGTCAGACCAAATTCATTCAACAAGAGACAGAAAAAACAGTTAGTTGCCAGTTTATGAGGTTCATAGTTTAAACGAATTTAACAGAAAACTGCCCTGCAAAGTTTTATTGTTTATAATGTTAGAGAGCTGTTCATTCAAATGTTTCATATTTACCATTTGAAAAGTGTATTTCATTATACTGGTGGTTGATTCTAGTATTTAACTTACTCTAATTATTTAACAGTTCATATATTTAAAAAAAAACACCTGTTAGTGTAACACAATTCAACAGCACGTCATAAAAACCGCCTACTAGATCACCGTGAAGTTAAAATCAAACCTTTAGAGCACTTTCAACAGAAACCTAACTTCAGTGGTATTAGCCTGCATTAGTTGTAATGTAAGCGTAAATGCTGCTCGGCGGCTACTTACCAGTGTTAAAGCTACTTCTAGCATCGGTGCCAGAGCAAGAGTGCCGTGAAACAGCGGCACACAGTCCACACACAAAACCGGCTCACTGTGGCTGTCCTTCTTTTTCTCCTTGGTTTTTTCTGCCACCAGCAGTCCATTCACGGCGCAGTGAGGATACTTGGCGGCATGTAAAAGCATTTTACAGTAAGCCTGACTTGTTAGCTGAATAGGCATGTTTAGGAGAAAATAGGCCAAAATCGGTGGCGCCTGTCCGAGAAGTTGAGTGGCTACACGCCTCGCTGCCTGCTATCGTTAGCTCACGGTACATATAATGCACGGACCAAAGTGGATATGTCCCTCCGCAGACACCTTACTGTCAGAATACGTGGTCGACGCCGTGCCTTCTAACGCGTACATGTAAGCTTTAACGAGTAGTGTAAATCAGTAGCAGGTTATTTTATTTTTTAATTTACTCAGTGTCACGAAATGTAGCCAAAGGAGCTAATCTCACTTCCACCTTCCACTCGTTACTGCAGCACCGGTGGTGCCGTAAAGCAGAGTGAAACCGTCGTAAAGCGCGACCATCTGTCCTAGTTTGACCTAATTTTAGTTTACGTCTTTCCGCTCGCTGGCACACTTCCTTTCGGCCCACTGGCGGACGTGAACAAGGTAAAGACAGCTCGGTGGTATTATTTCATCAACGGCGTCTTCCTCTAACCACATAGACACACACCACCCTGTACCGCGGACTCATACTCACTCCTCGGTGTAGGTCGTGGCCCCGGGGTGAATCCGCCATTTGAAATAATCGATTGTGTATTAGTGACTTTGTAGGACGGGCTAACGCTAGCCGTCGTTAGCATTTAGCTTCAGATTCGTGTGTGCGGATGTGTTGGCGTAGACAGTAAATGTTGAAGTGGTCCGCTATGGGTTCATGTAAATGCAGTCTCAGTCAGTGAGGAAGTACTGAAGTGTACATTATTGTCTGAAAGAAACGGGAATATCTGTGGTTAATTTCCCCCCGGGGTGCTGTGACCTTGTGTTTGCAGCTAACGCTAACATTAGCTTATCAGGAGATGTCAGTTAGCTAACGCTGGACCTTTGGTGTGAACGACAGTCACAACAAGAAGTCACCGCACATGCAAATGAGTTCATGGTCTTATTAGTGGTTTTACGCTACTAATGACACTGAGTTTTAAACAACTGGCAGATGCCGAAAATCGCTTTATATTATAGACTTGCGACCATTTACCTGTCCTTGAAAACACCTGCTCCGTCCAGCTTAGCTGAGTTATTGTTGATTCCTAATTTGTGTCCCCTGAAGAAACTGGATCATTCTTCATAGTAACCTCAGTAAACGTTAACAGTAAATGTTGAAAGATCAATATAGTGGTATGGAGGATGTGTGAACATGCTGATGACTTTATGTAAATTGCTTGGTGAGTTAATATCTGATATGTTTCTGCAGAATGCTGGCCACCAGAGCCCTTCACCTTGTTGGCAAACGTGCCATTTCCACATCTGTCTGCCTACGTGGAGGACATGGTGTGTATGATCTGAAATGACATGGAGTACTTTCTATTTTTGGCAGGGGTGATAATACAGTAGATTGAGTTTGTGCCTCATTTAGTTTTTTACTTTTGAGACATCTACATTGATGATTACAGTAGGGTCCCGGCGCAACATCACGTGTTTTTCCAAGTCCCATAAAACGCAAAACCTCCCTGTAATGTGAGTCTGGCTGGTGTAGAGGACCTGCTTTATCTTTCCTCCCATCTCACCATTACCTGAAACATAAGCTATGTACATCTGGCACTTCACTTACAGTAGATTAAAGAATTGCCACCCTGTAAACATGTTTTCCAGCCACCAGGAAAACATCTGAGTGAAAAAACACAACTCATTAAAATATTTGTATCAGCATAGTTTCTTCCAAGTGCAAGTACTTTCAGCTGGACTGGCACTCATTCAGGTATTACTGATGGCTCTAGGAGGGTACCATTTATTTTACAGTTAATTCTCAAGAGTGTCATCATTTTTTTAATATTCATAATTTCAGCAAATTGAATATTTCACAGTGTATTGACAAGACTCAGAGTTAGGCCAAAAGAACAATTTACTGGAGAACCTGAGGAATACTCCATGTGACATGGAGCAAGATTGAATGACAAACCAGCAGCGCAAATCTCACAGCAGTCAACACCGTGCTTATTCTCTGAACGTTTAACAGCATAGTCTTCCATAAAATATAAAACCAAAACGTTTTTATCTTGCAATACACATGACATTTCAGAGAAGGTTAAATTGAATGAAGGCATTAAGTGTTTGCAAAACTTATTTGACGAATCATTCTGGTTCATCCCCTGCAGGTGTTGCTAAGGTAGAGGAATACACTCTGCCTGCCTACTTCGACAGGCGGGAGAATCCCCTCCCGGATGTCTGCTATGTGCAGAACCTGAGTCCAGAGCAGAAGTCCCTGAAGGAGAAGGAGATCGGCTCCTGGGCTGCACTCTCTAATGAGGAGAAGATTGCATGTAGGACCTAACTGCACAACACTCTGCTTTTTATAAGATGCATATCTGATAGTAAAGTCATTTTTCATCTATTAAAATTATAATCATCTGGATTGTGTGTGTTTCCAATGTTCAGTGTACCGCATCAGCTTCAAGCAGAGCTTTGCTGAGATGAACCAGGGATCATCTGAGTGGAAGTCTGTGGTTGGAGGGATGATGTTCTTAATTGGCTTCACTGGCCTGGTTGTGCTCTGGCAGAGAAAGTATGGTAAGTCTTCCAAAAAGTATAATGGCAAAATTGGCAATGATGTGTCTGCAAATCTGTTCAAGGTTGTGTGTAGCGATACCTTTTTTTTTTTCAAAATATAATAAATACAAACAACAAGGAATGTAATTATCATCTTGATTACAATGATTGCTTGAAGTCTGAGTAAGCCTATTATGTGACACATTTGGTATCGTCCCTTAACAGTGTATGGACCTGTCCCACATACTTTTGATGCTGAGTACAAAGCAAAGGAGCTCCAGAGGACATTGGACATGAGAATGAACCCAGTGGAGGGCTTCGCATCCAAGTGGGACTACGAAAACAAGCAGTGGAAAAAGTAAAGGACCCAGAGGACCATAACACATACTTGAAAATAAAGTCAGACCAACTCAAAGATTCAAGAATACTTATATTTCTGTATTTAGCCATTGTCCACATTACCTCAGTCTGTGCTTTCTGGAAGACCACTTCCTCTTAAGGTCATTGTGTATTATAGAAAATAAGAATAAAAATTGTTAAACTGATAAAACCTCTCCATGTGAATTGTTGTGATTTTGACATTGTGCCTCCTACATAAATAATGCTTTTACATGAAATTACTGTTTCATATTTTAAAAAACAAGACATCAAATGTGTTAATTTGAATATAAAGTTTGTTGCTTTAGTGGTTTTCTATCTGAAATTATATTTTGACTACTGTGATCTGTTACACTAGTTTGTAGGACTTTTTTTTGTTATTTTTGTTTTAAAGAATGAGAGAGTGAATGTTATTTTGTTTATTTTAGTTAAATTAGAGGTAAAATTGACCATTTCTTTAGGTGCCACTTAACCACAAACATTGGCATCAGCAAATTATCGGTTATAATATAATTAATATAATAATATAAGTTAATCTACTTGTTTGTCTTTTAACAGTTGGTCAATTTCTGGATTACTCGGTGTGACCTATGCCCCTCCAGTAGGTGGTGTGTATTAAGAATAGGTACAATTTCAACCAGGTATTGGGTGTCCCACTCACTTGGATATTTTCGGGGGGTTTTTTTATTACCGAAGTCTCTGAATATTATCGTCTTACCACAGACCAGGTGTGAGAAAACTTGATAAAATGTTGATACACTTAAGAGTTATACAGCAGCCTTTACATATTATTCTGGCCCTGGGTTTTACCTCTCAGGCTACATACAGGCTGCCCTACTTGGACGTTGTATCCAGCCTTAAAGGAAAATTTGCAGAAAACTACTCCTGACTGGGAAAAGAGAGCTCTGAAATATAGCGCAATAAATAGACAATTATTAAGTCTGTATGGTTATTTACAGTTAGGCCTAATATTGAATGAATTTTGTTATATTACCATTATTAGAACGCACAATAACCCCAATAATAGCCTGTTATTTGTATATGAGCCTATTTATTTCATTACATACAGTCAAATTAGTATATAAGAGTATATAGTATGTTGGTGTATTTTGCTCACTATATGAATGAATCATGATAATGTTTCCAAGTGCGTGTTGCAGAATATGTAATATATACCAATATATTATTGTATAATTACGGTTTCCGCATACTATGCACATAAATCCCTGACAGAATATGTAAAGTCTAAACGTATGAACATTAACGTCCTCCCCCTGAAGGTGAGGCTGAGGAAGTACAGCTGAGCTGACGGCGTCACGCTATGATGTCACTTACCGGATGAACCGGTTGGTTAATTCACGTCAAAACAATCCGGAAGACGATATACAGCATGACTGAACTGTTGTTGTAGCTGAGGCGACGAGGTGAAGGCTGATTTAATAACATTGCTGCACCAGGCATGGTGGTGGAAGTTCATAATGTCGTCGATTAGAGGACAAACATAGCGACACAAGCGAAGGCTGCTTTATGAATTGGAGATCAGTCTCAGCCTCGCGATCTGGATTCAAAGTCCATGTTAACACATCGCAGCGGTTCTAGATATTAAAGTCTTGTAGCTCGTCGCAGACTGGTTCAAAGTCATCATGGGCAATGGAATGAATAAGGTAGGCTTTTGGTTGTGTGTCATGTCCCGGTGTTATGTTGTTGTGAGTCAATGTTTTGCGGTAAAACTCTACAAAGTCTTTGTGGTAGATGCGTGCTCTTTCCCACACTGATGTGATAGACAGTGTCAATAAAGCAGAGACCGCGCACTGGATCGTGTGTGCACAAGCTTTAAGTGCAGCAGTTCGTTCCCTTCATGAATAATGTGTTTCAATAATAATGTGTTAGCTGCCTCGGGGTGAGAGCTGATGACATTAGAAAGCATTAGTTTGTTTCAGAATGTAGCCACGGCTGATGTGACACAGACACTTGCATATATAGTCAGGAATCACAGGCACAGCTGAGACATGTTGTTTTTCTAGATTTGTAATTAATTCAAATGATTGTGTTCGATGCACATGAGTTCTCTCAGCACAGCTGGTTGGTTGGATGGGCTGGGGGACTGGTCCTGAACCCTGTGGCTTGGTTTTGCCCTCCTGAAAAAACTCCCACCCACTTCCTGCCTCCTCAAGTGCCCTAAAGCAAGGCCTTTATCCATGCCAGGACTGCTGAGGCTGACTCTGACCTCTGACCTCTGATCTAATCTAATGATAACAGGCTCATGCAACTTTGCTCTGAGGATCAAGTCAATAGATTATTACTTTATTATCATACCTTTTTTTTTTTTGCCCACCATTTGTATCTGCCCGCCCAGGTACTGTGAGCCTCCCATTTACTTCAGGTTCACTGCTAACATGTAAAATT